AAGGCTGATTTTTACAGCTGAGAGCTAACGCTGTCTATAGGTCCTGATTTTGTGATTGAGATTCCATCTGTGAAAACTAAACTTTAGAAGAGTGTAGGAAAAATCAAGAGCAACTTTTTGTTGCCTTTTAACTACTAGAATGTTGACTCTACCAAATGGATTAAATTTAGTCCCGTGAAGCAGATTTGTTCCACGGCTCTGCATTTGGGTTTAGAATACTCAGATTCCTGAGCTGCTGGGGCTTAGGTCCTGCTGTTAAAATATAGCTATTTTTGCAGTATTTTGGAATTCATATGAAATACTAGGATATTCTGTTTCTGTTCTGGTATTGGGATCTAAAATTCCTTGTTTTCTCAAAGTTGATGAAATATTAGAAAAACTTCTCTTAACTGTTCATTTCCTTTCTCTTCTCCTGCATGGTATGGTCCAGCTGGATAATACTGGTTTGTCCTTAATTAGAATGACATTCAGGATAATAAAAAGGGTTTTCTCTCAATTTGATTGAAAATTTGTTCTTCAACTTTGGGTAGCCCAGGGACTCTGAGGTGAAGACGTGGGCCAGTGTGTGTCTAAGTTCTTGTCAATGTTAAACTATGAGTTTCTAAGAGGTTCTAAGACCCTGAAAAGATTTGGTCAAAGTTTTGTATAGAGATTAGAAAAAACCTGAAATTTGGAGAGACTTCTATTATGACTATATTGACTGTAGCCATTTTAATTTGTTATCATTGTTGTTGTTAGTGTGTGTGTGTGCAGCATGCAATGGCAGGTGTCTGAAGATAGAGGATAACTCTAGGAGTTGGCACTCTTTCTCTCTACCATGTGGGTTCTGGGAATTGAACTCAGATCATTGAGCTTAGCTTCAAACTCTTTTGTCCACTGAGCCATCTTGCCAGCCCTCATTCTAACAATTTTTCTAAGAAATCAAAGAGAATTATGGCATAAAGAAATGCTATTTTCTTCATTTTAAAAGCTCTTTTTCTTTTCAAGAAGAGGAGTTATTTGAATATCATAAGTGATTTTAACACTGGTTTCTGAGTTCTTCATTTTGCATTATACATATGAAATCAGTGAGGCTTTGTCATCAAATGTTTCTAATATTTAATAATCACCAGTTTCTCTAAACTTCTAAATTGGTAGGAATACTCAACAAGGTCCAGAAAGAATAGGCAAACAGTAAAGAAAAAGCACCTTGTCTGTCTTCTCTCTTTGGTTTGAGTTTCACTCCTTTGAAAACATTTCCTAGTTCTGGGGTGTGAAAGTGTAGTTTAGGCATCAAAAAGCTTTCGTTCTTATACTTCAGCAGCATGGATCCTAAAATTCTGTGGTTTCTCATTTTCTGAAATATCCCACTGACAGAAAGAGTTGTAGGGACTGGGCACTGTATCCAAAAATTACCTAAGTACTTGTATATTTAATTTTTTAAACTTCAATAAATTAAAAAAAATCAAATATTTTAGTAAAATATTCTTAGCCAAAGAGAGGGCTTCATATAAGTGAGTTGTCTACTTCTCAGGGCCAGTCTTGAATCACCATCAGAATCACTTCAAAGAAACTCTAGAAACACCCACTGTTTAGGTTACACCTCCAGCCATTGAGAGCAGTGGCCTGGGCTGGTACCCAGGTATCAATAGTTTTGAAAGATGCTTAGACAATTCCAATGTGCAGCTGGGGTAAGAGTTTTTAATTTATTGGAATATCGCAGGTACTCTACTTGTTAGAAGACCAGAATATGTGAGGTTTGGGGTAGGAAAGTGTAGTGGAGATGGCCTTCATAAGAGAGCTTGAATCGTGTTGGAAGCCTGCCTTTATCAACACCAGACGTGTTAACATCAACAGATACTTTACCCTGGTCTAAAATTTCATTCAAAGTTTTCTATTAAAGTTTTTTTCTATTAAAATTTTCTAATAGCTTTTCTACTTAATGCTTAGTTGCATTGTAGTATTTTTTTTTTGAGTATTTTCCTGCAACACACGAGAGTTAATAAATTCAGATATCTGTTCTGTTCATTTTGATTCAGGCGGTCATGTGATAGACTTTTAGTTTGATGTTTGACTCAAGACTTGTCATTGAGAAGTTTGGGATTTTGTGAATTTGAAACTTAATGCGTTGAAATCATTATCTTATAAGGAAGAGCTCACTAAGTATATCATAACACAAGCCCTTCCAGGATGCTGTTAAGCCCACTTAAGAAAACCAGCTGTTTTGACAATTTACATGGATAGGCATGCTTATCATGGGCAAGTCCAAAAGCAGATCTTGAAATGGAGACAAGAGAAACGTGAATAAATGGTGATTGTAGGAGGCTGTTGACAGTACTGGTAGGAGTCCTGGATCTCTTCCCGAGGCTCCTTCTGCCAGCAGCCTAACCAATAGGGTGTCCTGAATCAAGGGTTCTGATAAGGCTCAGATTAGATTATTCAGTTATCAAATGAATCTGTTGTTCACTGAGTACCTGTTACAGACTGACTAGCGCAACAGATGTAAGGAAGAAAATGTGTGCCCTGGGAGGAGTTAGAAGAATCAGTTCATATTTTCATTTTATTTGTATTGTGTATGTGTGTCCGTGTGCATGTACATGTGCCTGTATGTGTGGAGGCCAGAGGTCAACACTGTATGTCTTCCTTGAGCCTTCCACATTATATAATAATAATAATAATTGTTATTACTTGAGATAGACTTAGAGAATCTAGAGCTTGCTAGACTGGCTTGGATTGGCTAGATTGTCTGGCCAGCAAGCCCCTGGAGTCCTCTTCTCTCTGCCTCTCCCTTGCTGGTATTTCAGGTCCATGCTGCTATTCCTAGTTTTTGTACATGGTTGCTGGGATCCAAACCCAGATCATCATACTTCGCAGCAAGCATAGCAAACACTTCTCCACTGAGCCACCTCCCCATTCCCGACTCTTCACATTTTTAGAGAATCTGTGCTGTAAATTATTTAATGGGGGCTAGTTTTTTATTCCCTCTGCTTTTAATTTATTTTTAGAGACAGGTTCTAATTGTGTAGCCCAGACTAGCGTCAGACTCACAATCTCCCGAGTGCTTAGATTACAGGCCTGCACCACCATGTCTGGCCCTGCCTGTATTATCAGCCCCATGTTTCCATGCCTCAGTGTATACAGCAGGCACAAAACATTGAGTATTGAGTATAGGAATGCCTGAATCAACCTCATGTTGTTATATTCTCTTGTTGCTTCGAGGTTCCGTATGAACCTGAATGTGGTTGTCTTACTTGAGAGCCTTTTAAACCATAACAATGGCAGACTCTTCAGTTAGAGTCTGACCATTTCCGGGACCCTGAGACTACTTGTTTCAGGCTAATATTCTTTTCATGCTTGGCATTCATCTGAAGTCCAATATTCCCTGTGGAAAGGAAGATAAATTCCTCCCTTTTTCCGTTAAGTTAAAAATTGTCACTTCATAAATGAGATTCTAAACATCTGGATCTTGATCTTTCCACCATACGGGGTGATAGTTCAGTGCTGGCCACATCTGTACCGTGCAACCTGATCACATTCAGCACACAGTTTCTAACTGAGTTGGTGCAGCCAACTTAGAGCTTGTGGGGTGCACTTGGACCCCATTCTCCTGTTATTTTACACACGGCTGGGGTCTGAATGTTTTTTTTTTCCTATATCCATTCAGATTGTGAACCAATGGAAAAATCATAATGCCCCTTTCATAAAGACTCACAAAAATTCTTTGACTTAACTGTGGTTCTTTGTGACAGGTAATATTTTCCTCTCAGATTGCGGTTGTCCTCTTGGATGGTCTCAACTAGTACAACCCTACTCACAGTTAGCAGAGCTGGGAAGACATTGGTGGACTATGGACAGTGTTTTATTTGGAACTTTATTTTAATGGAAGGTTGGAGTTGAAATGATTTGACTCTTGGACCCATGGCTACTGCTCTTCTTTGAGCCAGGAATTGGGCCTTGACAGCTGAGGAGGCTGTGATAGTCATCATCACTGGGAACCTGTGCCTCTTCCTGAAGTTCCTTCTGTTAGCCATGTACCATGTGTGAATCCTCTTAGTTTCTGTGGGTGCTTAAGAGTCCAAGGTGATGTCATGGGTATTTATATGACCCATTGTGTAATCTCTCACCTTTAATGGCTTAATTGTTTACAATGTGTTCAGTTGGAAACTTTATTTTAAAGTCCCATTTAGGTGAATTCCACTTTCAAATACAGATTTGTACTGTTCAGGGATCCTGGGTTCAGTACAGCCAGCAGGGATTTGGGTGTGGGCTCCATACTATTTTACAATCCGTCAGTCTGGTCCTTCACACCCGTGCTTCTTAGGTAGCAGAGAATTATGTTTCCTGTCTTATACTTTTGTAGAATATATTATAAAACATACATTTCAGTATTCAAAGTCAAATGTAAAACTAAATTGAAAATATAACTTCATTCTAGTCCACTTAAATTCATTATTTGGTTTCAGCAAAACATAACTTTGCTATGTTTGGTCAATGAGTATGATGTGACTATTTTTAATTGTATGCATGTAATTCAATTGTATTTTAATTAAATTTAGTCTGTAAATTTAGTATGTAAATATACTGTTATTAACTTTTTCTTAGGCATGAGAGGAATGAATGCTAGAAAATGGTTTGAAGATTTTGTCATGAAACAATAAGTTGGAATTGAAATTTTGGATCTCCCAACTTCTACCTGAGCCTCTTGTTGTTGAAATGTGGGGTGTGGGAAGCTGTCAAGTTTGTTTTGAAGCAGAGTAAGTCTTGTAGGGCAAGAAAGGAAGGATGGAAGGGGGCATCCATGGACTCATTTGTGGGTAAAGCTGTGCCACAGGCAGGCCTCAGAGTGTGGTGTGTTGAATGCAGGATCAGCCTCACCCAGGTCAGTTTCCAGGGCCCTCTAGATAATCCCAGTTCCCACATCATCATGGTGTGCATACAGGAGGTGGGGGGCGGGCGATAACAGTGGGCTACTGAGCACCAAGCAAGCCGACTGCCTCATGCTTTGTTTTGTGCCTTTTCAGAGTGCAAATTCACCTGCACCAGCGGCAAATGCTTGTACCTTGGTTCACTGGTCTGTAACCAACAGAATGACTGTGGGGACAACAGTGACGAAGAAAACTGTCTCCTGGTGACCGAGCATCCACCTCCAGGCATCTTCAACTGTAAGTCCCTCTGACTCACCTCTACGGCATTGTGTCTGATGGGGTTTGGAAGCAGATGGGAGGTGGGAAGGTTATGTTTCCTAGTTAAAGAAAAGAGATGTGCATTTTCACCAAGGTTTTCTTTGGGGAGGGAAGGTGGCATGTGTACGATGGAGAACATGTGTCTTGCTGGTGGTCACTGGTGCTGTGGTTTGTAATGGGGCTTTACTGTTGATCTGAGAAGCCCAAGTTGTTTCCAAGAACCAGATATTTGTGTTCTTCACACAGCTTTAGAGACCTTTTTGAATATATGACTTCAGAAATAATTTTAAATACGTGAAGACAGGTCCATAATTATCCACAAAAATAGAAATATTTCCATGAGACTCTTAAAGGTTCTAGTTGCAGGTTTTGCTATTAAATACCCAATGGAAATAAGACATGTGTCAGGTCTTTACACGTATGACTCCCAAGAGCCGAGGCTTGGAACACTGTCTTCACCTTGAAAAAGTGAGATCAGAATCTGAAATTCATTGGTTTTGGATCTCGTGGTTGTCATGACAAGAAAGAAGAAGAATACAGTTTTTGAAACACTATTGAATTCTGTTTTAAAAAAGTAGTTTATTCTTTTCTGTTTTTCCTTGAGCCAAGTGAAGTGGTTTGTGGGTGAGCATCTTTCCGCATCAGCCTACCTGGGGAGAGCGTTTCCCAAGCCGGTCCTTTCTGTGTCTGGATGGTTACTTCCCCCAGACCTGATGGCAGAGGCTTGGTCTCCAGCCCATGGTACTGTTGTGAGGTGGTAAAACCTTACAGACTTGGAGCCTCCTTAGGGCTGCTCTGCCTTTCATACGGAGATGTTGGGACCCTGGCTCCTCCTTTCTTTTCTTGGCTTCTTTTATTGTTGTTTATCTGAGACAGGTTTCTGCTGTGTAGCCCAGGCTGGCCTCAGACTCACAGCAGGCCTCCTGCCTCAGGATCCTAAGTGTTGAGATTACAGGTGTGAACTAGGATGCTCTCTCTTTTTGGCTTTCTTGCTGACATGAAGTGAATACTTTTGTTCTACGGCTTGCTCAACAATATGGTGTGCTACCTTGGCATAGGCCTGAAGGCAAATGGGGCCAGTTGCCAGTGGATTTAAACCTCTGAAAACTGAGACAAAATAAACCTTCCCTCTTCTAGGCTGGTGGTTCTGAAGTATTTGTTGTGGTGGTATGAAGCTGAGAGATCCGGTCCTCTTCATGGGGATCCTCTTACTGAGACCAATCATTTCAGGATGCATTCGGCCTCTCTTCATACCAACACCATTTTGAGGCATTATGCTTGGCAAAAATTAAATTTGGGGAGAGATGGTTTAGAGCATTTGCTGCTCTTGTAGAGGACTGGGGTTCAGTTTCCAGCACCCACATGACAGCTCACAACCATCTTTAACTCCAGTTTCAGGGGTTCTGATGCCCTCTCTGATCTCCATGGGCAGCAGGCATGTACATGGTGTACATACATCCACACAGATAACACAGTCGTGCACACAAAGTCAATCTTTTTTAAATTAAAATTTTGTGTGGAAATTAGACTACAAAAATGCAATTGCTGTAAATTTGGAGAGAGTTTAAGAAAAACAAAAAACTCCACATTTTTCTCTACATGGAAAACCATGTATGGCCCTGATATAAAAATAACTATGCTCTGGTGAATTTTAAGCCTGCTATTTGTGCTTTCCAAATTCAGGAGTCTCAGTGTTTATTTTCTTAAGAATTTTTGTTTTATCATTTTGAATGTTATTTCAGTGTTAAAAGATATTGGTTATTTGTTGTGTTTGGGGGTGCCCATGTGTGAGTGGGTACCCTTATTCATGTAGGCACATGTGGAAGGCCAGAGGTTGATATTGAGTGTGTTCTTCCATTGCTTCTCCAATTCCTTTTTTCACATGGTGGGTGTATTTCCCTGAACTCAGGCTTGCCATTTTGGCTGTCTTGGCTGGCCAGTGAGCCCCCGGGCTCTGCCTGTCTCTACCCCCTCCCCAATGACACTGGGGTTACAGGTGTACACAGTCACATGTGGCTTTATGTGGATGTTGGGAATCCCAAATCAGGTCCCCATGCTTGTACAGTAAGCCCTTGACCCACGGAGTCACCTCTCTAGCCCCCGAATTTCCTTAGATTGACTGTTTTTCAAGTTCTGTCTTTATGTGCCGAGAAGACACGTCTCAAAGGTCAGGACTGGCTCCGCACTTCCTCAGCGTTGGCCCCCTGCTTTCCTTAGATGATGTTTGTGTGGTAGTATTTGTATAATGCTGCTGTCTGGCTGTGTGCTGGCCAGCCTGTGGTCTTTCGCTTTCTGGATATGGATAGTCTGGAACATTTGTCGGCCGGCAAAGGGAAGAGGACAAGGGAGGAGGGTGGTAGAGGGGAAGAGGGGATTGGGAACTGGATGGAGAATATCTCCCTGAAGACAAGCAGGCAGCATGCCAGAAGACCAAGAACTCTGAGGGCCCCTCTGTCTACCTTTTCCAAGAACACTTAAAGTGTTTTTGAGCCCCACATCTAAACTATAACATGTTCTTCATTTCTGTACTGCACTGGGATTGAACCTAGGACCTTACACATTTCAGGCAAGCACTCTGTCGCTGAGCTACATACCCAGTCCTCTTTTGTTTTGAGACAGTGTCTTGTTACTAAGCTTCCCATGCGGGCCTTTAACTCTGTAGTTCAGGTTGGCGTTGAACACGCAGTCTTGCAGCTTCAACCTCGCTAGCAGCTGGGATTACAGGCTTCTGTCACTGGGCCTGGTTAAATGTGCTTTGACTAAGTGTCCTTGTTTCAAGCTAAACTGCTGGAATGGGGCCCCAGGAATACAGCTTTCTTAGCGGTCAGCAGGCCAGCATCTGCACAATTAGGTTCCAAGAAATGGCTATTGTGTGCACTACAGGGGAACGGACAATCCAAGTATTCATTTAGAGCCTTGCAAGGCTTAAGTGCTTGGTGAATATAAACTTGTTCCAAGCTAGACTGATGGATTAGGATCCTGGTCCTAGGACTTAGCAGTTAGGCAGGTTGCTTTTGCATAAGGAAGTGACTGAATCCTGTAAGGCCTAGGTTCTGGTGTCTATGAAATGGGCATAATTTCTGCCCTCTAAGATTGCACGTGGGTTTAATGAAAGACCTGGAAAGTGTGAGCTACATAATTGTATTGTCAGCCTTCTCCTTCTCTTTCTCTTCTTTCCCCCTTCTCCCCCTCCTCCCCAGCTCCTCCTCTTCCTCTTCACATATTGCTTGGACATCTCTTGGGGAGCTGAATCAGCATAGCTTTATAGGATTTGCCTCCAATGTCACCCCACTTCATGTGTAGTATGTTTCTAGGTGTCCAAGAATGAGTGCGCTCCCAGAAATCAGTGTTCCCTACTCATTCTGTCCCCTCGGAAAGATTCCCTAGGGACGGTGCCAGCTGGAGGTGCCTGCGGCCTGGCTGGGAACTAGCTGCCCACTGCCTCCACTGAAGTACCAGAGGGAAGGAGGCCCATCTGTCCTATAAGGAACACCCCCCTCCCCACAAAGCCTGTTGCTGGTCTGTTCTTTGGTTTCTTTTCTTTTCAGTCAGCCCGAGAGGCTAATCTAATATGGGATGAACGTATGCATTCTCCCCGTCTCTCTCACCCAAAGAGAGCACGAAGAAACAAGAGTCGGCTCCTGCTAGCTTCTGTGTCCTCGAGGCCGTGTGTGAGCTGCCAATGGGCGGCACGGACTCTTTATTGGCTCACCTATGGTACCTTTCTATAGCAGATGGACAGTGTGCCCTTTGCAGAGTGCTAACTTCATAAATAAATTTCACCTTCCCACTCACCTTGAAGAAAGTAAAGTGTTGCAGGAATTCTTGTGTATGAACTGTGTGTGTGTGTGACACACGCACACACGCGCCCCCCCCCCCCCCAACAAACAAACAATAGCAAAACCCAAACCTCGTAGCACCTATTCTTGATCCTATTTGGAAACAGAGTCTACTTATTTGACCTGCTTTGTTTCCTTAAAAATAATATTGAATCTTCTGATATTTGATACTTAGAATGAAGCGAAGTGGAACCTTCTGGATCCAGATGACTCACATCAGTCTTGCCTCTGCCCTTGGCTTCAGGTATGCACCAGTGCTCAGATGTCTGTTAGCTCTGTCTCATCTGATAATGTTTAGCATGAATTAAGGTTAGGAAGAAAGCCCCACTGGTGCTCATAGTGTATCGACAGCCTTTATACCACCTCGAAGTAGCTTTTCCCTTCAGAAAATGTTTGGAACCTAGATCTAGGCGTATCTGGTTTCATCTGCCCCTTACTCAGCTGACTCTCGCCAGATACTCATTGACTGAGGCAATTTTATTTTGCTGGTTTATTTTGCTCTGAAGCCATAGTGTTTTTCATGGATGTTGAAGGCTGGACTAGCATTGATTATCTCACAGAGAGAGTTTCCAGATGTGTCTTTCAGTAAAAGAGAGACTATGCCAGCAGACCAAACTCCCAGCTTTTCTCATGTCTTTTCTTTGGCTGTTCTACTGTACTCCTGAGCACTAAATATGCAAATAAGGTTAGTTACTGAATGTCTTGTCTAGTCATTGTACTAGCCATTATGTCAGAACGAAGAAAACAGATCCTGCCGTTACAGTCAGTGCTGAGAGATGAAGGAAAACACATAGAAAGGTAACTACAACCAGACATCGGAAGCATTGGGTGATTGGTCCTAACAGTGTGGGGTTCAGGAGTGAAGACAGAATCATTCTCCTTGTACTAGTAACTGCGGCTTCAGGAAGGAGACATTCAGAATGATGGGGGAAGGACCCTGGCGGGGCTTCAGAGAGCAGAATGAGGAATAGCACTGAGGGTGTTGCAGTTCGGCGAGGGTGTTGCAGTCCGGCGAGGGTGTTGCAGTCCGGCGAGGGTGTTGCAGTCCGGCGAGGGTGTTGCAGTCCGGCGAGGGTGTTGCAGTCCGGCGAGGGTGTTGCAGTCCGGCGAGGGTGTTGCAGTCCGGCGAGGGTGTTGCAG